TGGAGGCTGCTCCTAGGCAGCCTGAGTCTCATGGCATTGCCTGTGTGTCCTTTGGACGTGGCCTCCCCAGTTGTCAATCTCACAACACAAGAGCATATGGTGACAGGAGGAAGGAAGGTCAATGACATGAAAACCATCCATTGAAAAAGAACGCTAGTTGATGTCTACTGGCCATAGCCAAGAGGAACCAAGGACGACAGAGTACATTGAGAACTTCCACTTGAAGTAAAGGACTAGTGGACTCAAGTATAGATGTCCTCAGTGGAGGGACCCAAGTTTAAAAATTATTTAGTTAGGAGGAGCCAAGTCCTTATGGCTCAGGCTATGATCATAAACAATGTTTTGGTCCCTGTCTCAGTAGAAACTTGTGGCTCCACTGTAAGTAACTCAAGGAAAAGGTAAATTGTCAACTGTCACCTCACCTCTATTGTCTTTATTTCATTTGATTTTCGAGACTCAAGTCAGGATTCACCTTCTCCAGACAGGTTAAATAAGGAGAGAGATAGTTTTAAATTTATAGTCAAAATTGTATTTAGCTGTGGAATCAGGTAAATACTGACGACAACTAAGACAAACACACATCTGCATATAGGCTTTCTAGCTCAATCCCTACTTTAGTTGTGTGGTTTTTTTTCTATTAATAGCCCTAAAATGTGTTTTTTTTAAATTTTCCAATTCTCCATGCAGCCTCTGGGTCATCAAGAACTATCATAAAGTACATAATTCATTTTTGGTAATTGAGTTGATTACAAGGAACAAGTTTCCATGCAGAATTTTATTCTTCTTAATTAACTAAAATGACCCTTTCATAATATGTATGACATTCTCAACCAGTCTTCTGTCAAATTTTGATTAATGTGTACAACATATTCTTGCCATCACAGAGTACGTTTGCTGTTTATTATATAAGGAGCATTGACCTGCTTACCCAGCGGAGAACAAGGGCCATCATTCTATGCACATGAGCTGTTTCTTGGCACTCTGCACATTTGTATTGTGAGAACACAGCCAGGGCAGTAACCATTTTACTCCAACACAACCACCTTTCTAAGTGTGGTAACTGTGCATGCTTTTACATTCTAAACCACTGTGATACTTTAGTAGAGATTATAACTATTGTTGGCTTGTTGGTAATATGTTCATAATGTGCAGTGACCTCAGAGAAGTAGAGATCCATAGATACAATGGATGGAATTAAGGCCAAGGAGCAAAGAGAGGGCATATTTCCAAGAAATTTACAGACGTATTAAAACAGGCCGTCCTCCCCATGGTATTTGTAAATATTGGCCTGTGGAACCATTCTTCCTCAAGATGGATTTGCTCTTCTAAAATGAGCTGAAGCTCATGAAAGCTGCTGTTTCCTTATGGAAAATAGATCCCTTTATGTGAAAGCCTAACAGCACTTTATTCTGGGAAAGACTCAAATGATGTGCATGATTCAGGTTGACCCTGTGGTCTGAGGTCTATTCTAAATGCCAGTGCGCCCTCAGCCTTCAGTGTAGGAGTTTGGGATCATCCTAGTGGATCAGCCCACTCGACCTTGCAGCAGGCTTTCTGAGTAAAAGAGTGTAAGTTGGGTGAGGACACCGACTGCTGATTAAGCTCTGGAGCTACTGTAGTTAGGAGGAAAGAATACGCTTCAGAACCATGTAAGACTTGGGTTGAAATCCTAACCCTGCTATTTCTTGTGAAAAAAATTGAACTCAGAGGATAAGAACTTCTTTGAATGTCATTTCCTCATTGGTAAAATGAAACCAATTATAACAAGAATTTCATATGCATCATATGTAAAGCCATAGCATAGCGCCTTCTGGATGGGGCAAGTATTTGTTGCATCAATGAATGGAGAAGAGAACCGGAACCCACCAAGAATGAGAATAATCCCTCTGAGGGAATACAGAGTAGACCTAGGAGCTTGGCATTAGCAACTTACTCTCTCAAGAAGTGGAAGAATGGAGACCTTCTGTTCAAAGGTCAGAACTTGGGTTGCTTGGGTTTGAATTCTGCTTCCACCTTTTCCTAGTTGTATGACATTGAGAAGGTTGCTTGACTTAATCTCAGTTCTCTCATCTTTAAATTGTGTACAAACACTGTCTATTCTGTGGGATTTGTGACGGAAGCTGAGATAATGAATGTAACCTAATAAGCACTCAATAATACTAGCCATACATATGTGCTTCTTCAGAATAAGGCCAGAAAATAATGGTTCAGTGCTATTTCGTAGCAAGAGAGCATGATTTGGGATAGTATTAGAATTTTAACCCTAAGTTTTCTTTGGGTTGTACTTGGTACATTATGCAGATGCCTTTTATGAGTTCTAGTTTATCATTGTTTCGGTTTATATTGGCCCCTCTTTGAAATTTACATTAGTAAATGAATTTGTGTAAATTAAAGATTTGAAAGGTAAGTTCTGTGCCGAATCACCATCTTTATCCTGGGCAATCCCGTTTTAAAAATAGGTTGCACAAGGATTCACTTAACACCCTACACCACATAAAATGCCATCAGAAAGGGATAACTGGTCAACCCCGTGTAAACCAGGTCTTCAATCTCGTGGTATGTTTTATTAAAATTTTAGCAATATTGACAGGATAAAAGCATAAAAGTCGGAAAGGGAAGCTAAATATGAGGCATGAAAAAAACTATGACAATTTGTAGAATAAAACAATAATAGGGTGGTTCCGGACAATGGTGGTTTTCATTTTTATTTTCACTTTTAAGCAGTGTCAAGTGCTAGTAGAAGCTAAAATGAGTGACACTTAGGGAAAGGAAAAACATCCCCCTTGAATGTCTTTAAAATCTATAATAATAATATAATAATACAAAGTGCATCTGGGCATTGCCTTCTGCTGCGATTCTTGTCTGGCTCTCATCCAGAACTTGTCAGTGCTGATGATTCATAGCCCAGCACCCTTTTATCTGAACGTTGCAGTGTCTTTTCTTTGTACTTTGGCAGTGATGTTACCTTGATGTTCAAACATCTTTTAAAAGCAACACAGGCTTTGCTTGCATCTTGACAAATCGTTGTCTGCCAGTAATGAAGAAAACGTAAACTTGGTTCTGTGATCCTTGTAAATATACAGAAATAAATACTTCCAAATTTTGTTTTGTTTTTAAAAGTTGTTAGTATTTTGAGAGCCTCTCACTGAAAAGTAATCTGATCACCTTTTCTTATTTCCTTTGTATAACTCAGCATGTTGCTTTCCAAAAGCATGAGTCAGGTGGAGTTTTTGTAGGTCACTTGATATTTGAGGACAGATTTAGGATTTTTAAAAAGGGAGACATAAGGATAGTTTTATTTCTGTTGTGTGCTCTTCCTGATGTTGGAAAGTTAATGTTTTATTACTTCCCATTTGAATGTGCTTTAATATATCTTGATAAAAGTAAGAGTGCTTCATACTCACATGGTCCTTTTCATACATTTCCTCATCTGAGACTCAAGGCAACCATGTGAGGTTAGCAAGGCACATTCTTCTTATCCCAAATTACATATGAAGAAACTGAGGCTCAGGATGGCTTATGACTCTCCCACTCAACTTGCAGCAGAAGCCAGTCCTTAAATATTGATCTACTCACTCAAAATAAGCAGTTTCACTTTTATCATGTTGTTCTTCAGAAAGGGGTCTCGGCCTTGTCAATGAAAGTTTCGCATCCAGAGTGCAGGTAACGGTATTTCTACTGGGCAGAACATCACAACCACCCATGGAAGGTCTTTGTTACATTTGGGGTTGCATTTTAAGGAGAGCACCGGGAAACTGGAGGATATGAGGGTCAAGAAACTAGAATGTGAGGAGCCTGGGAACTGTACCAGAAATAACCAAAGGAATCGGGATTTTCCAGTCTGGAGAAAGGATGATGCAGGGCGATATAACTGACATCTCCAAATGTTTTATGGGCTACCTGGTGGAAGAAGAATTAGATTTGTTCTTGGTAATTTCAGGCAGCAGAAGTAGGATCACTGGATAGAAATTACACCGAAGCAGATTTATACTCAATATAAGAAGAGACTTTCTAACATTTAGAGATGTCCAAAAATGGAATAGACTAGCTCACCCTCCCTGGGAAGTGTTCATGCTGAGACTGTCTGACTTCAAGATTATATGACTTTATGGGTGTTGTATTTCAGCAGTAACACAGTTTTATGATGAACCTTCTAAGAGCTTAGAGAAGAATTTCCTCACTAGCTAAAAACAGAGGTTGGGGGGGGGGTCCTAGCTTTTCCACCCCGAATTTAGAAAGGTGTATGCATAACACTTTGTGTTTCACACATTACTGGGTCCTGAGAAATACCGTTTAGTTGATGGGAAAGGCATATTAGTTAAAATGAATAGGCAAAACTTCTGTTAGATAAGAATTGGACCAGTGTGATGTGTGCAGTGGTGTGTGTTTGTGAGCACGCGTGTGTGTGTGCACAGATTTTAACTATTTCAGGACGAAGTGGCTCAGTCACTCCATCATTATGCGTAGGTTTTTATTCTTCTAAAGTGTACATGTTGTTCTAGGACTTTTCATTGCAGCCTTTACATCTTACGATTCTAGTTCTCAATTTTATGACTCGAATTCTCTGTTTGCATAGAAAATTGAGAATGATCTCAATTCTAACGAACAAGTCATTGATTTGTCCTTTACATTATTTATTCATTTATTCAAAAACGTTTATTAAGTGAAACACTGTTTTAGAAATAAGAGAATTTTGCTCCAATATATGTGATTTTAAGAATAAAAGGAAAACAGCAAGTCAGTATCTTTCATACTTAAAATGAATGTGAAGGATTCCATTTGTAGGGTACTTTCAAACAAATATAATGGAATTCCTCTGGAAAATGGCTTGTTGTCTCTTTGATTTCCAACAGTAACATTTCAAACCAGGCCTTGAATCACAATGGCATGCGACAGAAACAAGTTGTGATAAACCTTTGAGCCCTGGCGTCATTAAAGGCCCAGCCACAGGCTCCAGCGAAGGCCCTCTGTGTGCTAACTCGGCCTCCCTCTGCCCGCAGGTTCCAGAGGGGCGACTACCACATCGACGTCTGCATCAACGACTACCTGGACGTCTTCTGCCCGCACTACGAGGACTCAGTCCCGGAGGAGAAGACCGAGCGCTATGTCCTCTACATGGTGAACTTTGATGGCTACAGTGCCTGCGACCACACCTCCAAAGGGTTCAAGAGATGGGAGTGTAACCGGCCTCACTCGCCCAACGGACCGCTGAAGTTCTCCGAAAAATTCCAGCTCTTCACACCCTTTTCTCTAGGATTCGAGTTCAGGCCCGGCCGGGAATATTTCTACATCTGTGAGTATCTGCAGATTTATCATGTTGCGGGGCAGCTGCGGGAATCCGGAGTAATTTTTTACCCGTGTTCCAGAGCGTTGCAGCGAGCTGGACGCTGCCTCCCAGATGTCTCCTTGTAAATGCATACATCAGGGTCCCTAGATGCATTAGCTGGGAATTGAGAGCACAAATTAGATTAAAGACACAGCGCCTCTCCCCCTATGAAATTGCGTGTCAGCCTGTTCAGTGAACCACTGCTGACTTGTATTTCTTTTAAATGAAAATTGCTAGGACTTCTCCAAAGCAGAGGAAAAGAAAAAGGGATTCCTGAAAAAAAAATTAACAGAAATAATTAAATTTACATAGCTTCAGAGTCATTGGATTTCTTATTCAGGTGTCAGCAATATCCTTTCAATCATCCACATTTTCAGTGGAGAGAGCCAAAACTCCTGCAAATGTCAGCATGCTGACGATAAATACTCTGTCTGCCCCAAGGAGAAAAGACAATTATTAAGAGCAGCTGTGTCTTTAAACAGGCAAGAACGTGAAGAATCTAGAAAGGGTTCCAAGGGAACTGTTGTGAGCGTGTTTCCCACCTGTAAGCATTAAGTGACCCTGTCCTGAGAGAGCTCTAGGTGTTCTCAGCAGACCTCTATGAATCACATAGCCATGGCCTCCTATTTCTCCATCATATGCACCATCACTTCTTCGGGCATCATGCTAGTCATAGATTCTAGATAACCAGATGACTGCTTCCCAGACCTCTGTGCATAAGTCACCTGGCATCATGTTAAAATGCAGATTCTGGCTCGGGGGGGG